GAATGGCATTGGCTCAAGACCGACTGGACGGACTGCCTGGTTGCATAAAGAAGTGTTCGTGATTGTGTGATTGTGGAAAGGGATTGATCTCGTGTTAGATTGCTCTCGCTGTCTGGATTGTATAGTGGAATTTTGCACCCTCCCTCCCTCCCTCGTTCGGGGTTTGGGGTTTAAGGTTCAGAGTTTAGGATTTTTGGTTCAGGGTTTAGGGTAGGGCTCTGGGGATTGGAGGTTCTTGATGCTGCTTGGTTTAGCGTTTAGGGTTCAGGGTTTTCGGGTTTTAGGGTTCAGGGTTTCTCTCTCGTTCTGTCCGCCGTGCGATATTTGGGACGCGAAAAGCGCGGCACCCAACCGCATCCCTCAACAGTTACCAATATTATTCCTTACGGCCCTAGGGTTCCCTTGTACCTCTATGCCAGAATAAACCCTAAACCCCATTCTAGTACTTGAGTAGTTCCCTAAATTAGGGTCCCTTCTGGGGTCCTGTTACATCAGGGTGCCGTTGTTTATGGGGGAGTTCCGAGTTTAGAGCAGGACCCTTATACTTTTATGCCATAATAACACCCCTTAAGCCCCCTAAGTATGTTATCCCTGAGCCCTATGAAGCCGAAGCTGCAAACCATTGACTTTAGGGCTTATATAGGGGTTTAGGGGTTTAGGGTTTAGGGCTCAGGGGTTCATGGCTTCAGGGTTTAGGGTTGACGGGATCAGGGGTTTAGGGTTTAGGGTTCATGGTTTAGGGTTTAGGACTGACTAGAAATGCCCGACACCAACGAAGTCCCAAATCCCAGCTCAGATCCAAATAGCGCTAAAGTCGAAAACCACAAGCCACAAATCCTGAAAGCCCTAAGCCCCGAAACCCTCGACCGGAAAAGCTAAAACAAAACGCGCTCCTAAAACTTATAATCCCAAAGCCCCAAACCCTTAACCCTTATACATCCCGTAAGCGGAACCCTTAACAGGAATCCTTAAAGGGAGCCTCAAAGTGACCCCAGATCTTATAGACCATACGCCCCATAAAGGAACCCCCCCAAACTTACAAACTCAAAGCCCTTGGGGAGCCCTCAGCCTTAAACACGCCTCAACCCCAAAACCCTAAACCGTAAGCCCTTAAGGAGCCCTAAGCCTTAACCCCTAAACCCTAAACCCTTAAGGAGCCCTAGAAGCCTTAAACCCAAAACCCTAAATCCTGAAAGCCCAAAAGGACCCCTTTCTAGGAACATCAAAACTGCCACTACATGCTTGGGAGGCTCGGGAATCGCTCTGGTGAAGAGCCCGGAGGCAGCGAAGGGGCTGCAAATGGAGGTTCATGGCTAGGTTACAATTTAGTTCTCCAATTATGGTTTAGGGTTTAGGGTTTAGGGGTTTAGGTGTAGAGTTTTAGTTCTCCAATGCCCAACCTTTATAAGCTTCGTGGCTTCTTATGATTTAGTAGTAGTCTGACAGTTTAACTACAAGTAGGGTTCCTTGCAGGGCTCTGTAGAGTTTAGGTTTACGGTTTATAGTATTGAAAACACTCTTAGCCTTGCACATTCGAATTTTGGATCGCTGGGTTTTGCCCGGGTGTAAGGGGAGCTGTCTTTGCTGTCTTTCCGGCTTGGGGAACAGATGGTTAACACTCGAAGCAGGTTTTTATTTTGGCTTTTTAACACAAATGGGGAAGAGAACAGGTACAGGACTTCGTTGCATAAGGGAGAAAGACCAGCATGAGCAGAAGCGGCCAAGAAGATATCTTCATCGTGCTTTGCATCTGTGCTTGAACTCATTTTGCAATACCATGGAAGTAGGAAGAACGCGAATCGAGGCAGGCTGTCATGGCTACATTTCACGAACTTCCCGCGACAAAAGCCGATTCAGATCAAGTTCATATGATATCAACGGCTCAGAGACTTAGCGGAGTTAGCCGACTTAGCTAACTGCTTAGCTAAAGCTTAGCTGACTACTTACCATCAACTACAAGCAGTCTTAACCACCTAACTACGCAACTTCCGTAGCTAGTCGGCAAACCACGGGCCATATGGGTACTTGCAGAAAGAACCCATATATAGGGTTTTGGGCTTTTGGAATGTTGTGGCTTAGGGTTGAGGGTTTGGGGATTGAGGATTTAGGGCTGAAGATGTAGGGCTTTGGGTTTAGGGTTTAGGTCGAACGTCTGGGGAGTTTCTGACCCTAAACCCTACCTGGACCCTAAAGAACCCACCATTTTAGGGTTCCTTAATATGATTTCTTTATATAAGTCCTTAAAAATGTAGGTTCTTTGGGGTTAAGGTAAACCCTAAACGGTTTAGGGTTTAGGGCAAGAGCAGCAGGTCTCACCGAAGTATGGCACGTGGTACCAAGGCTTTGATAGATCATCGTACTAGCATGCTTAGGTCTAAGTTTGAAACCATGGGCCCCAAGTATAGGCCCTTAAGTGTGGGATCCTTATATACCTACTGTCACTAACCTTAGAGTGGAGATGCAGGGGCCTTTTTCTGAAGCCTTGAAAGTAACCCGAAAGTGCAGCCATGGCAGAACTCAGAGACTCCAATACCCTTTAATTAAGGAATATACTTCAAATCTTCTTAGGATTCCCATCATAATGCAAGGTATATTCCTTCATTAAAGGGTTTCGGAGTCTCTGGGAAGCACCAAATCTAGAGCAGTTCCTAGTCTGTCTTCCCACTACCAGTAGAGCCCTAAACCCTAAACCCTAAATCCTAAAGCCTAAACCCTAAACCCTAAACCCCTAACCCCCCAAAACCCTAAACCCCTCAACCCTAAACCAGTAGAAGGCATCTTTGCAGCCCTCGGAAAGAGGAGTCGACTGCTCAACAGAACGCACCCGCAAAGAAGGGAAGCGACTCTTGGAGTCTTGCAAATCCTGCAAGGGCTTTTAACAACAAACGTTAAACGAAATCCTGCAAGAGTTTACAAAAACAATTGTTCAAAAAAGCAATCCCTGCAAGGGTTTGTAAAAACAAATGTAACAAAACACAAATCCTGCGATGGACAACCTCACGAATGTCTTCAAAGCCCCTCACTTGCGCTTCTCCTCAACCCTGGAGCCGAAAGTCTGAATCCTAAGCCCAACGCCCCCAAAGCCATGAGGTTTAGGGTTTAGAGTTCAGGGTTTAGGGTTTAGGGTTTAGGGTTTAGGGGCCTCCCCCACACCACTTGCCAAGCTTTACACCGTGACAGCCCAACCAAAGACCCGACGCCGAAGAATGCCTCCCGAAGGACTTGCAGAAAACCCTTGCCCGTCTGTTGTCGCCTCAGGCCCGGACTTATGACTTGTCGCATACATAAATACCCACCTATCTATCTATCTGTCTATCTATGTGTCTATCTATGTACCTATCTGTCTATCTATTTATCTATCTATTTGTCTTTCTATCTATCTGTCTATGTATCTATCTATCTATCTATCTATCTATCTATCGACCTGTCTATCTATCCATTCATGTATTGATCTCAGCATCTATCTATCTTTCTCTCTGACTACTTATCTATCTACTTATCTACCTATCTACCTATCTATCAATCAATCAATCAATCTATCTATCTATCTATCTAAGTATCTATCTATCCATCTATCTTTCTGTCTATCTATCTACCTATCTATCTACCCATCTATCTATCTATCTATCTATCTATCTATGTACCTGTCTCTCTATCTATCTAACTATCTATCTGCCTATCTATCTATCTATCTATCTATCTAACTATCCATCTACCTATCTATCTAGCTAGTCTTTCTATCTATCTATCTATCTATCTATCTACCTATCTATCTACCTATCTATCTATCTATCTATCTATCTATGTATCTATCTATCTATCTATCTATCTATCTATCTACGTGTCTTTCTATCTATCTCCCAACCTATCCATCTACCTATCTATCTATCTACCTATCTATCTCTCTCTCTCTCTATCTTGCTATCTATCTATGTATTTACCTATCTGTCAATCTATCTGTCGATGTACCTAGACATACATACATATGTATATATATATATAGACAATTATGTATACATATATATATATATGTGCATTGCATTTTAAGTGTACACACACATACATATATATATATATGAACATGTATACGCATCTGGATACATGTGCATGTGTATGTATATATATATATATACACACATATTTCATATGTATAGGTCACGTATATATATATATATATATAGATACACACGCATAAGTGCGTACGTACGTCTCTGTGTGTGCGTGTGCGCTTGTACGTTTGCTGTCCAATAAAGACCATGTCTAATTTAATGTATGCACTAAGTAAGGACTCAAAATACGGATGGATGTAACGTGCAGCCTCATTACTTACAGTATTTCTCTGCTTTTCCATATACATACGGCTTGAAAAACCGAGCGTCCCGTTACGTAACATTGTATTCTAAAATCTAGATCATTTTACGTATGCAGTTGTTACATCAACACGACGGGTGAAGGGCCTTCAGGGACTGGATGAAAGCGCTGCTCATCTCCCCTGCATGGAGCCAATTATGCAGATTGCCGATATGCAGCACTCACGAAGCTGACCTTCATCAGAACTTGAGAAAGCTGTCTTTTGCGCGCCACCTCCGACACGTAGCAGCGGCCGTTTGCCGCAAAGCGTACCGGAAACACACGAACGCACACTGAGCTTAGCACTTCGTGGCATGGAGACAACTCGAGCTCTGCCTCAGAAGCCGTGAGATGATCTGCGACCTCGAAGCTTCACTTACAGCCTTCTTTTCTTTTCGCTTCTCGTCTTCAATGTCATGATGCTCCTCTGCATGAACACACGACACTTCTCCTTCTGCCCTGTCTTTGGGTTGCTTGAGGAAAGCAATGCTTCTTTTTGCTGCTTCTCCTTCCTTTCCCACACATCCTTCTTGATTCCTCCCTCGCAACACTGTTCGGAATCCCCATCCATGCTGTGATGCTGGATGCCAATAACTATATAGTCCTGTGGACCCGACCAGTTGAACTGTTTCTGGCAAAGGAAACCGTGGATATGTCAAGGCGTAGCTGACCCACGAGATCTGGCTAGCAAGCCTCCAAAGTCAAGTTGTGGATATCAGCAGCCGACCCCAGCGCAGGGTTTTGGGATGTGACAGATCTCGAGGGCATTTCGACACCCACATCGGCACACGACTTGTGGCGAGCTGCCGACAGCATCTCCCCAGAGTTTCTTTGCAGCGGCAGCTTGCTTGTTGGTGCGGAAGACGATGCTCAGGCTGTCTTTGACCACCTTCGCCCCAGGGGTGAGATTGGCAACAATGGAGTTGGAAAGGGCGTTCCTTGAACATGGCCAGGAAGACTCGGGCAAGTTCGCGGTCTGCCTTGCAAAACTCAGGCAGGTCAGGGTGTGCCAAAGAGTTGGTGAGAGATCGAGAAGGGCGAGAGGCAATTTTCACGGCAATTCGCACATCGCAGTGGAGGCGGGGGAGGGAAAGGGAGAAAGAGAGAGAGTTCACAGCCAGAAATTGGACCAGCCGTTCCTGAAGAACTTGCGCTTTCGATGGCTCTGGCGCAGGCTGAATCAGGGGGTCCTGCACGAATAACAGACGGCATGCGGACTCTAGCTGGCTGACCGCCCCTGCATCAGGTCCTACACTCCTACAGTTTGGCATGCAGACTTCGGGAAGCGTCCATGACGTTCTCCAAGCCAAGCCGAAGGCCCGCCTGCCAAGAAAATCGAGCGCTCCGACGCCGCAGAGACCAGATTAACACGGGATCCTGAGGATCCCGACTAGAAAGACACGCGGACAGACCGAGGACTGGAGAACTGCTCTGCAGTCCAGGTTCTGGCAAGTCCACATCAGCCCGTGGTAGACCGGATTTAACCAGAATGCCCATGCCTTAATTCGCGACAGTTCATCGCCAATGGGTCCTTCTTGCCTGTCGCATGCAAGACCACACCATGGGCTCACTGCTGGCCTTGAGCTGGTCTAAAACCTGCAGGTGGCCAAATCTGTTTCTGATCTGAACCTCTTGACGGAGGCATCTCGAGTTGACCCACAAAGTATTTCAGCGCTGTGGCACCTCTCTCGTGCTGTTGGGAATCACAACCTTCTGCGTGTTCCCGAACAAGCCGTCCCAGGGTGCGCCTAAGGGGAATGGAGAACGAAGAAACCCGGCAGAGCCTGCCTTGGAGCACTCGGCTGCGTGCCGGCTCGACGGGCCAGTCCGTGCCTTCCGAGATCGAAGTGGGGAAGAGGGGTTCACCAGGCCAAACTGACGAACGTAGTGCAGGTTACCGGCGGCGAATTACCGGAATCGGGCCAAAGCACATTTGACACATCGTCATCGGGACAAAGTAACCGAGGCTATGTTCCAAACCCTGGTATCTGGGCATTTCGCCTTAACCCGGAAGAGTGAACCTGCACTCGGTCTTGCAGCACTTGCATAGGGCCCACCTTCTCCTGCAGAGTGACCCGGCTCGAACAGCCAAGCAGAGCGCAAGGGCCTGAGGAACGTCAAAGAACTGAAGACGCGCCACATGTCCTCGCTCGACCCTCCTGTTTCTTGGGCTCAAAGCCGTGCCAGGGTCCAGGTCGCCCTTCGCGGGCTTCGAGTGGACGGGAGCAGGAGAGCAAAGAGGCCTGCAGAGGCCTGCAGAGCAGAGCAAAATCATTCGAGAGCCTGTCTCTGTCAGCTCTGCGCCTGCACCGGTGCAACGAGCTGATGGCCACAGCTCCATTGCGACTGGATGGAAAGTAAGCGCAGCATGGAAAAACTTGAAAGTTAGTGCTACATGCCGCAACAGCTCCCAGTTGATGCTGACTCTGTGGGTGATGTCACAATGCAGATGGCAATTTTCGTAGACTCACTAAAATCAGAGCTCTCACGGGACCGAAACAGCTGAACTGGTTGACGCTTCGAAGATGGTACGGCTCAGCACGGCACGGCTGAATTTCGGTCTGAGCCTTCTCGAACTCTTTGTGGAGCAACTTCATGCTCGCGCGGCTGGGCAGCCATGCAGACTGCAATGGGTCGACACAGTCAAAGGCCTTTCCCTTCGAATTCGTTTTCTGGTTCTTGTCGGCTTAGTTGCTCCAGTTGGGAGAGACTAGAGGTAGAGAAGGTCGTACCTGGAGATGTCCAAAGCACAACCAGACTTGCTATATCTTGCTATTGGACTATCGCACATCAAGCGCAGACCTGAGAGCCTCGCAGCAGTTTTTGGAACAACATTGACTGGTCGCATTTCCAGCTGCAGAGCTGCAGCATGCTGCAGCTTCAGCCGTTGCGATGCAAACAGTTTCATCGTCGCTCGCTGCAGTCTCGCCAGCATCAGCGAAGCAGTCGGCAGCCTGTTCTGCCAATTGTCTGAGCAGCTGCTTCTGACCTTAGCAGCTTTAGTTGCAGAGCTGGCCGTGAAGCTTCCGTGCAGCTGAATACTGTAGCAAGCTCACTTTGCCTGGCAAGTCCCACTGCACTGACAGTCCCTTGATGCATTCTCCAGCATCTTCCAGCACCGGTCGGGAAACACTGTGACAGAAACGAACGTGCATTGCTTTGCATAGCATCGCAGCAGGAGTAAGCTCGAAAAACTACTGCCGCTGCTTGGTTAGATGTGCTCTGAGCACACGGTCGGTGAGAAATGGTGAGAACTCATTGGCAAAGCCTGCGAGTAAAGCCAAGTCACTGTTCGACCTTCAACACACCAACACACCGGAAAGCAGCCTTGAAAGCAGCCTTAACTCACGCTCAAGTTACAACTAGGAGCCTTGGTCCACACTGGAACCATGTCACACCTCAAGTATTTTACAGTTCTCACTGAGCCGAACCACCTTCACAGAGTGGCGCTTTGTCTCTCGCACTCTAGAAGACGCTTGTCAAGGCATTACAGCTGAGTAGCTCCCTAGCGGCCCTAGCCCGTCAAGCCTGGCCGACGATCATAAAAGCCCTGGTAGTCGGCATCGATTACACTTTCATGAACCGCCAAGCCTTTGATCAGTAGTAGCAAGTGGATTTCCAACGGTACAGACGCCTTCTGCACGGCCGCCAGGTTGGAGGCATGCCCTAACAAACCGAAGCCAGTGACTAGTGACGTCAGTGGCCCCGTGTGCATACATCAACAGGGCAGCCGTGCGGTTCAAAGGCATCATTCTGTGCCATCATTTGTTCGGATCTCCCAGGCAGAGTGCAAGATTTGCTGCGATCTGACAGCTGAGGGGTTCGGTCAAGACAAGAACATCATCCAGATGCAAACCATCAGCTCTAACGAGGTCCTGCTCTGATAAAGTAGTCCTCCTGTCACTCTGGTACCAGCCTCTTTGCATGCGTCGTTGAAACCTCGAATCATCCTCCGAGTCCCCACATCCCGGTGCCTATCCTCCGTTTTGGTTGAAAACGAGAGGATCATAAGAATGGTGTCAACGTGATGCGCTCCAACTGCATACAAATCCGAGAGTGTTTGCAATGCGTCCCTGAGAGATTGGGGCAAAAAAAGTTGGTGGTGCTTGTCAAATAGATGCACTCGGACTCTCCACGAGTAGCTTCAATGGGGACAAGGGGGAGTCAGTCCTCTTTCGCCAATGCTGGCCAGCAGCTCTGTCAGCTTGTGCCGCTTCACTTGGCAAACTCAGCCCTTCCTATCAGCAAAGCTTTTCAAAACAAAATCTCTCGGCGCCCCAAGTGCTTCGGGGTTGAACAACTGGCGACGAAACTCTTCACACATTGCAAGTCATTCTGCAGGGCTTGGCAAACAGCTGCGCATGTGGAGACGCCCTCAGCGAGCCCTCCACTCGCAGGAGACTGTTCGCCAATTTCCCAACAACGACCTGAGCTCCGTGCCGATCCGCAGGCAAAGGATATTTCGGGCATTGTCAGGTCGTACGCCATCGGGGACTCGTGGAAGGACCTCACAGCAGTGCAGTCGGCTTTTGTCTCTGTGCTGCGCCATGCTGTGCCTGTGATCGACACAGCCGCTTTGTGGAAGGCTCCTGGGCCTCCTGGCTTGGGGCGCATAGGCTTTCCCAACTGTACCCAGCAGAGGCTCAGACACCCACTGCTCTGCTCTGCTTTTGGCTCCCAGCGCGGCGAGTCGTGTTTGAGGGCACGACGGGGTAGCAGGGTGCTTTTTCAGACTCGCCCTAGCCACCGCCGCAGTTCTGGTTCTGGCCCTTCAGCTGTTGCCCAGCTGCAACCTTTAATTCCACATCTGCTGCAACATTCTGAAACAGCACCTTCTGTCAGGTCGAGACATTTGCTGTCGTCGCCTGGCAGCTTAGCCGTAGCTGGGAGGTCACGAGGCCAATCCTGCACGGAAACAAAGCTGGTAAATCCGACACAACCCACCCAAAACGTGAGTCTCTCGCTCTTGGTAGACAAGGCCGCAACACGTTCGCGGCTTTCACGCACCATTCACGAATGATAGACTGCTAGCCTGCTACTTGCCGAACGGAAAGCAACTGCACAATGAACTGCCAAGAGGCCATGGTGTAGCTAGTATAAGCCTTCAAACACAGAGTCCAGGCTGGCCATGCAAGGTACGAGAGTTGCCTGTATCTGTTATGTCACACTTCTGCCTAGCATCTTCGTCCTCGCCTTCAGACCCGATCACTTTTGCAGTGCCAGCATGAAACATGGAAGCCTAGTGACCCTGTCGCACTCGGGTGGCCTCCTGTGAGCGAGGACATCCTTGAGTGTGTGGTGATGTGGCACTGAGCTGATGAAACAGCAACATGCCACAGTTTACAGAGCCAGAAATTTAAATTCCGCCTTGCTATGCTGCTATGCATTTCGACAGATGGAAATAGAAGAAAGCCAGGTGCAGTGCTGCAACTAAGCGAGGAATGCTTCATGCATGGCGGGAAGTCGCAGGAAATGCATTCTTCAATTTGACTCCTGCTCCCCTGAAGCTTCGCTCAAGTGAGCTGCAGCAGGCAGCATCCCAAGGATCTGCCACGAACACCCGACATTGCTTCCGAATGCGAGAATGGATGATATGTGTTGGTCCCTAGCCGTGCACAGACTCACTTCATTATGCAGGTGCCGGGGCGCCCCAATGCATGCAGCCAGTGTTGCCAATGCACCCTGCCGATTGCCGAGCACTGCTGGCCGTCACCGCTTTCACCCGATTCGTGGAATGGGGCGACTGGGCCCAAGGGATTAAAGCTCGGAAGACGGTTGACAGACACGACGGTGCACTCGGTGCATTCTGCGGCCTCTTGTTGGCAGACTAAACGAGCAGGGCTTTACACAACTTCACAAGGCTACTAGCTTGCTTCTTGCATAAAACTCCGTTCTCAGCTACCCTGTCCAAACCATCTCCGAGCTGTGCTTGCGAATCGTCGTAGCAAGAAGCTACAAGCTAGGCTCTGCAGGCATGTCTTCTCACGTCAGATCTCTTGAATGGGGTAATTCTCTAAATTAGGGCCCCGCATTCGGTCCCCAATGTAGTACGGCACCCTTACAAAAAGGACGCTAAAAGGGACACTCATTTAAAGAACTACCCAATTGAGGAAGTATGCGACTCCCTATAACAACATTGTTCACCCAAGCCGTGTTCAGCAATTTGCAGGGAAACCAGGCCATGCCAGTCACTTTCATAGAAAAAGCTTATTTTTTGGTTGACACTGAATTGAAAAAGTGCGAATGCCCGGTCCTGGCGACTGAGCGACCTTCCATTGCTTGTGCTAGGCAAATGAATCGTTGGCATCCAGCCGTTGCGCAACCAGCCATGAGTCACATGAAGCAGCTACCAGGACTGAGCTTGCCTTCGTGTTGACAGCGAATCGTCTCTTGAAATGCCGCAATGCGGCTAGAAAAGGCGCACTGGAGATCGACCGACGGCTGAAGATTCAGCTACTCAGCTACAGTATCTGCCATGACTTTGCTCATCACGCAAGAAACAACTTCTGACTGTAAGTCCTTGGGTGTGCAGGGGCCAAGTTGAAAGAGTTCAGAGAATGGACATTCGTGGGTGCTGCCAGGAGACCCGCATCCTCTCCAAGAGTGTTAGCTCTGGAACTGGAGGGGAGTTGTCAGGTCCGTCAAGTCCATCGAGCCGATGCAGAGGGGCAGTGCCCTCGGACCTGACATCGTGACGCCTCTTACTGTGAAGTGAGAAGAGAAGAAGAGAGCTCTTCAGAGTGTTGGGACGGGTAGCTTCTCCTCCATGTACATGACCACTGAGACCTGCAAGTCCTGCAGGCCCAAGTCTGCCAAAGGAATCGTGAAGACCTCGCAGCCAGTGCAGCTTAGGATGCTCGGGCACCGCCGCGACAAAAGGCATGGGTCGGTGGTTCAGGGCTCGTTCGTTGAGGGTTCTGTTCAGGTTCAGAGGCTTGTTTCTTGGTCGAAGGGTCGCGGCTTAGGTTTGGGTGCCATTGTGCCGTTCGAACCTTTGCTTTGTGCCTTTCAATTTCGAAGCCTGCAACTGACTAAAGTCCTTGCGGCTTGTCGGATTCCGGGGCCCATGCCTGTCGCAGGACACGTGCTGCCACGAGCTCCCCAGTCTTCCTGCGTAGCATCGCCGCGGCAGTGGCACCTGCGGACAGGCACCCACAAGCGAGGGTTGCGTCTCTTTGCAGACGCCAGTAACTGCAGCGCCAACAGCTAACATTGTCTTGACGACGAGCCGCTGCCACAGAAGCAACAGACTGGAAAAGGGCTGCAACACAGTCTTTAACCACCGCAAACATGGACAGCCGGACGACAAGCGCCAAAGAGGCAACCGCTCTGTTGCATGCCACGGCTTTGGGGTCATTTTAGGTTTGCACGGCCGCACATCTGGTCTTGAAAAGACTTTACATGGACGTTGATGTGCAGAACAGGTGAAGGCTCAGAATAAAGGCCCCAACACTCAGAGTCAGCAGTCCGTGCCAAAGTCCGTGCACTTCGAGCCCACCACGCCTGTATCGGTGGCCATGTTTAGCTGGCTCTCGCACTGGAAGGCACATCGAATATCAGGCGACAGAAGCCGCATGAGCTCCTGCACCCACTTGCCGAGCGAAGCTTCTGCACCGACAACCAAACTAGAGTGTGGTGCTCGGAATCCGCCCTTTGAACACTTGCACTCGCTTTGGAAGCAAGCCACCTGCATTACGCCACTACTTCCGGCAAAAGTGAGACTTGAGAGCCACGGGCTGGGACGAGCTTCTTAAGCGACAGGGCTGGTGACACAGGACTGGAAGAGACAGACGACATCAGACGACATGCAATCAGATATGTCAACGTCGAGAACTCGAAAATGCACGCTCTGCAACTGGTGAGATGAGGAAACAAGCAGCACCCATGCGACGGCTGTAAATGCCACTTGGAACTTTCTTTGTACTGTTTTTCGTCTTCTAGGAAAAGCGGGTCAATGCTGTCAGGAGGGATCACAAGAGACCCTGCAGCCGGCATCGGAAGCAATCAGAAGAGGCTCGTTTCTCCGCCGAAAGAAATCACCGGAAGACTCGACATCTAGCCCAAAAAGCCCTCCGTTGCAACGCGGTTCTGGCCAGCCCCGGGTGGGAAGCTCAAAACTATGGACATGCAAGCTGACTCTCGCAAGTCAATAATTACCTCCTACAAGCAGACTGCATGCAGGGCAAGGTGGACACTACATGACGGGCATTCTTCGACGTAATTTGCCGCAACCATGGAATAATGCTGTTATATGTTGTTATCTCTGTGTCTCGCTCGTTCATCCTTAAAAATTCTTGTCGTCCGCTATCTCGGATGCACTGGGTCCCGAAACCTCGGAAAGCCAAAAGACTACTGAGCTGCACAAGCGCCTTGGTGCCGCAGTAGAATTGCAAATATCGCACAAATGTGGGGGCTGACTGACCGTCTGTTTAGTTTGCACACAGACAAGGAGGACACGAAACCCTTCTGTGCGCGAACGTGCACTGGGTTGGTCGGTCTTTTGCAAACAACACCTTGAGATTGAGAGTTTAGGGCATGAGGGAGTCGTGGGCACTGTCACTTTGCTAGTGTCACAGTTGTCCCTCCACCCCACCTGCACCCCTACACGTTTCCACCCTTCCACCCACCCCTTGCACAGCCACCCTCCCTCCCCCCTCCACCTCCACACCCACCACCCGCTCCATCCACTCCAGGTGGACGGAGGGGTGGTGGAAGGAGGTGGAGGGGTGAAGGGGTGGAGGTTGGAGGTGGAGTGGAGAGTGGGGGGAGGGGTGGTTGGGTGGAGGGATGGAGTATGGAGGGGTGGAGTTTAGTTTGTAAATATACGATTTAAACAGCATTTTATACTACCTCTGTGGCTCCGAGGGCTTGGCGGGCCTCCGCGTATTAAAAAACTTCAACGTGCGAGTATTGTGTTGAAACTCTTGAATACATAGTCTTGGTTTCCCTGTTTGTTTTGTTCTGTTGTCGTCTCTGTGTGTGTAGCCCCTGGAATTCCATGGGTCACTAGATACCCGTTCGAAAGTCTCCCCAACCCCTGTCAACGATTCCAGCCAGCTGGTTTCCCTGCCGGTGGCTGTTTTCCCAAACCGGTGGCTTCACGACCGTGCGGTTTTGCCTTGGAGATCAGCCGGCTGTGTTCCGGCTGAATTGGCACCGACTCTGGCTCTCTTAACTAGGTCTGAGGCGTCTGGCTATGGAGGCGTACTTAACATGCGGCAAACCGAGGTGGTTTGGTCGCAAATGGACCTAAGATGCCGCAAAGCAGTGGTTTCCACGCAGAAAGGGATTTGTCTACCTCGTCGTCTACCTTGGAGCTTGCTACGGTCCTTGTAGGGAGCTTGAAGTACGACTGAGAAAGTGGATCGTGGCTGAGGGAGGTGTATACATTTGCAAGGAAATAAAATACGCTCAACTTTCAAGCTGATCCGAAGGTATTCTGAGATTGCGTTCAGCCATACTGTGTGATTGGTAACTCTGGAATAAAAGGCTGCATTGATGCCTACGATTCTACGGCGTTCTACAGAAGTCTTATAAGCTGCGGTTTGATGAGGGCGAAAGCATCCAAGCCATACAGCAACGTGGGCAGAAATGCATTTAATTAGGCCTCCTTGACCCTCATGGATTTCTGAACTTCCCAAGCGATGGCACACGATGGCTAGGTCTTGACTTCTGAAAATGGCGTGTCTGCGCCGGTCCTTGCTCTGAAGCTCTGCGCGGGAATAGCCGACCAACTCTTCGAAGCCTTTTGAAATGAAGTCGAATCTGCCATCCTTGCCAAGACAGTTCAAGCCATTTCAAGCCTGTGAAAACCGCACACACACACACACACTGGACACACTATCCTCTTCTCTCCGACTTGCTGTGTCCTCAAAGCTGCGCTGGTTGGAGGCACAGGCAGCAACCGCAGACCTGCTCCGAGAGATGGCTTCGTCGACAGCTTGGACCAATCGTCCTCCACAATCGTCAACTTCACACTTTGGCTTGGCTTTCTGTGATGTGAACTGTGCAAGAGCATTCTCAAAGTCAAGTCCTCTCTGTGACTGGCTATCGGGTAAGAAAGAGATCTCTTCATCAAAGTCGATGTCATCGTCGTTAATGTCCGCTACTGAGATGTCCCCTGACATTGTGCCATTTACGTTTTCAGTCACTGCTGAGGCAGGAGCTCACACACATGAACATCGACATGCAGATGGCTCGCGACAGCGACAACACACATCAAGCTCATGCGAACCACAGCACCGCAGACCTCCTTCCGGGACTGACGTCTCCTCCGTCTGAAACCTGCCACCTCGCCAGATTTGGAGGCTAGCGATGATCGCAGCAGGGAAACGCGGATAGAACTGAAGGCATGCTCAAACTCTGATGGGCACAGTCCGGAAAATGCCAGCCGAAGCCTCCACAGCCGCTTGCTTTGCCGACCTCCAGTGAAACATGAGCCGGAGGTGGACCAAAGATCGAGGGGAACCTAAGTTGGACAAGCGATGCTCCACTTCCGCAGGTCCACTGCCACTGAAGAAAGGTTGCTACTGTGACGACTGAGCTGCAGGCAACGGAAAGGAGCTACGACTTCCTAGCTTCGGCAACATTGTAGTGAAGAACCACTTGCAGCGATGCCCCGATTACCTTCTTTGGTGCTCTGAGAATATCTATAGACTCGAATAGACTCTGTATTATGGAGACGACGACTTCGAAATCATCTTACTTTCCTACATCTTCGTTGCTGCCGTATGCCCTGTCTTCATGCTTGAGCCGAGTCGTCCTCTCAAATCACATCGTAAACAAGCCTGCGCGCAAACGTGCCCGCACACACACACACAGACAGACACAGACACGGACACACACACACACACACACACTCGCTCACACGCTCACACCCACACACACTCACACTCTCGCAAACATGTCTCTGGACGGGTGCACCACCACCAGTGCATGCGCGGCCTCGTCGAGTGAAAGCAACATGCTCTGGTCCTGTGCATGACACCCACGACGGCTGCAACCAATTGTTGCGTGCGCTTTGTCTAGGCATGTCGACACCTAAGCCAAACCCGATCCCTTCCTCCTCCAAGGAAGTGTCGTATTTCTGCTCAAGCAGCTGTGCCAGTCCTTGCCGACCCGAGAACAAACGGCAAAGTGACAAGACTTGCAAGGTCCCTATAGGCGACAGGCGACTCTACGAACTGGCGCGTCACAACTCTGGCACATTTTCGGAAAGGTCGTCAGATCCCGAGTCATGCCAGTGCGTGCGAAATGCCTCAGTGGGTCTAGCTTTACAGATGTCAAATCAGCCAAACTTCGGCAGTGGCGGCTATTCTACGCCCTGGGCTCATTGGGCTTCCATTGCGGTGACGACACGACACTCTTCAATCTCACAACATTCTGGCAGCTGAACCGAAACTCGGCTTTGTCACAGCAGGGGGACTGCCTATCCAGGCAAGTGCCAGTTCAACGAAGACGCTTGCATTGGATACGGATATCTGGTCTCATCAACCGGACCCCCGAAGCTTCACCATTCCGAGTTCATAGGTTGAGCCTTGAGTCCGCTATCTGCATACTGTGTTGCAGCTAGATCAATGTTCAATTTGCAGACCTTTTTCCTTGAGCATTCCGGGCCCCTGTAGCATAAAGTAGATAACAAGATTAGGACACATGATGCAACGAAGCGAAGAAACGAGAATTGACAACCGCCATAGACCGGGACCTCCATGTGCGTCTGCGCGCGTGTGGGTGGGTGGGTGGGTGGGTGGCCCGAGATCGGAGCATCGACAAAGGCGACGATAACGGCGACCCCGACTACTACGAGAAGGGCGAGGAGATAACGAGTAGATGTTTCGGGCTCGTGTAACTGAGGGTTAGGATTAGCTGACTGATGCGGATGAGCTTCGGCAGTCAAAGTCGGAAGAGAGTTTCGGGTTCTCTTTTAGAGGAGCAGACATCTTCCTGGGATGCAGATACCTGTGGTAGAACAACTCCGAATCTCCAAAAGAGCTTAGGGAACCAAGTCATCTCCTGTCCGT